TTGAAGTAGGCAATGAATTCTGTTTAGAAAATACGCGAGCATTCTATTTAACTTCGTAAGTCCTTCGAAATTTTCGAGATCTCTTCCGAAGAGAGCCAAAAGATACAGAAATCAAAGATTTCCAGAAGTTCATGAGGAGATCAATGCATGTACGAGAAAACTTCAAACTAAGGCTACCTTTAAGAGTCTACCTAGTTGACATTTTCATGTAGATTCGGCTTCATTATTACTTTCATCACTTCATTAAAGAAATAACGCTTATTTACCAATCTCAAAATCTTGCGTGAGCTCAGAAACAGAGGTCACCTCCTGGACCCACATCTCAATACGAACATCGACCGGATTTGAAGGCAATTTGTGCTTGTTGTAGTGAAGAGCTGTGTCAAGGAGTAGATGATCAATGATTTCCGTGTCATTGGCACACCTTCGTGGAGACTGATATGAATATACTTCAGAAAGGCTTGCCACCATATAAACTTGCGATAAAAGTGTTAGTAATAGCAGCATCTGAAGTATGTCAAGCCATTCGTCTTCCCGTTTCCCCTGAAAGTAATCATTTTCCGAGATGAATTAGTATAAATTGGAGATCGAAAAGCACAACTGGCAGATGCTAAAAGTGAGCTCTTCGAGTTTAGACATGTTTCAAACTTCAAAGAATGAGGAGATGTTCCAGCGATCCAGAAGAAAGCTACGTCTGAATCTACTCGTTAGGCGCCTGCCATCAATATTCAACCACGCCCCACCCAACTTCACAACGCCCACATTACCGAGAGTAAAGAACTTCCAAAAAGTTTTCTTCAGAAAAGAATAGACCCATTGAACATGAGTATTGAATGATTATAAGAAGAGAGAAAGAGCTACACTATTTAAAAAAAAAAGGGTGACTATCGCACTCCAATATAACTTAATTCAAGGGCCGTCTGTTTGAGCGCTTCTCACCATTATTGCTAAAAAGCATAGCTCCATTGCCTGGTTTTCTAGTCTCTGGTTATTTGTATGCACAGTTCTAGACTTATCTCGTAATTTATTGTCACACCATGGTCTTTGATTCTCTTTACACTGTACTCCAATTTATGTTCCCTAATAACGGTGGCCTCAATATTCGTAAATAGTTTGTTTAAGCAGTATGTTTCCTCTCTTTGGACAGATT